TCTTATTTCATAAGAAATAATGATTTAAAGGTACGATGATCTGACCTTTGCGAGGTCATTTTAGGGTATGAAAAAGTAACACACTAACCGCAGACAATACATTAAACGTGGAAATGCAAAAAAAAAAAAAAAAAAATTCACACTGTAAGTATCAAGCATTACTAATTTTTTTAAAGTGACGAAACCATTAAAATCTCCAAAAGATTGATCTTAACAGCGTTTACATATCCTTAATACAAGTTTACAGTAAACAACCATCATTTACACTGTAAGCCCTATCACGTTATTTTACCATTGGGTAGCCTGTGCATGGCGTGGTTACCATCCTCACAGTGAACTTACAGTTCTCAAAGCTCTGGTTTGGTTAAGAACAAGAAGCTAATTTTTTCAGGATTCTTGTGCTCCTTACAACGTATTTTCTTTCACAGCGCTAGAATGGAGATAAGAAAAACAATATCTTGCTAAATTTGTTAACAGAATCTTATTTCAGGTGCGAACCGAAACAATTTTGACAAGACAATAAATATGTCGTGCAGGAAATGATCTTGTGGCAGTTCGGCTTCAGTTTACTTCAATCTTAAAATGAATTGAAATAAAACCATTTTCATTGTAGTTATAAGTACAATTAAATCTTATTCGAAGACTCCTTTTGTCGCTCAGTACCTTTCCTTGATCAGCGTTTCTTTGCTTTGATCATACAGCTAGACCAACGTAACATGATTCTTCTAGTGTGCGTACTTATTGTTATTGTATTTGGGTCTGACATATCCTCGATGGCCAGAGAAGACGAAGATACTGTTTCCTTGGACTGGGAAAAATGTATTTTGTGTCAGGAAACAACGAAGGAGCAGCTCCAATGTCCGGGGAATTCTCGCAGATCAGATATCGAATATGGGACAGGATATAATTCTCTAGCGGAAAGAATTCACAAATTCAATGAGCTAGGGTTTATGCCAATATCTTTAGATATAGAAAAGTTGGATGAAGGTGTTGGCATGCCAGCAACATTGATGAAGCGTAAAGCGAAATGGCATAAAACGTGTAGAAACAAATTTAGTGACATGAAGCTAAAAAGAGCGCAAAAAAGGAAAATTCAAGATGATTTGCCAAGTTCTCAAGTAAAGTCTAAATTCACTAGACAAAGCTCTGGTGCAGCATCTTCGATGACTAAAGAAGTAAGCTGTTTTTTCTGCTCCGGTGCCACAGGTACACTTCATCAAGCGTCCACTTTTAATGTAGATGCCAGGGTGAGAGAGTGTGCACATCAGTTGCAAGATGAAGTCCTAATCGCAAAACTAAGTGCCGGCGATTTGATCTCTCAGGAAGCCGTGTATCATGCAAAGTGCCTGGTGTTGATCTATAACAAGGCAGAGAGAATAAATCAGAATCCTGCAAGCAGTGATGAGAAGGTAATCCAGGGTATGGCTCTAGCACAGCTCGTCGCTTATCTTGAAGAAACTCGTGCAGAGTCCGCAGATAGCATTCCCGTGTTTACGCTAGCAGAACTTACAGCCATGTACACCGTTTCCTGAAACACTATGGTAGCGATTTGTCGGGTAGACTACACTCCACTGACCTAAAGGAGAGAATTTTAGCAAATGTTCCAGGCTTGCAGGCGCACAAGAAAGGCCGAGACATAGTGATGGCATTCAGTGAAGATGTTGGCAAAGCGCTCGAACTGACTCGCTTTAGGGATTTTGATGATGAAGCAATAATCCTACTTAAAGCAAGCAAGATCATTCGTCGAGATATAATAGCCACGAAAACGCAATTCAGTGGAACATTTGATAAAGATTCTCAACAAGAATTAATTCCAAAGTCCCTTAAAACGTTAATAGGATTGATCTTAGAGGCAACAGATATCAAAACTCCGTCTAGTCGTGTGAGTGATGCGCAGCCTACACTAAGTATATCACAACTCATGCTTTTTAATACCAGCATACGGCGTCGTTGTAGTGAAACAACTGGTTCAGCTTATTATCACTCTCGAGATCGCGAACCACCACTGCCTATATATCTTGGCCTCATGACTCACACAGAAACAAGAAAGAGAACACTGGTCGATAAACTCTATAGTCTTGGACTGTCAATTTCGTATGACAGGGTGCTAGAATTATCTACTGACTTCGGCAATAGTGTTTGTGCGCGGTTTGAGTCTGAAGGGGTTGTTTGCCCGCCCAAGCTTAATAAAGGAGTATTTACAACAGCTGCCATGGATAACATTGACCATAACCCGTCATCTACAACCGCTCAAGGTGCTTTCCATGGAACAGGTATATCTTTATTCCATCTGGTGATGCACCAGGTGAAGCGCGGGATGTAGTTAGCATAGACAATCAGCCCTCCAAGAGAAAGCGTCTTTCTCAACTTCCGGATTCTTACACACTTGTTAAGCCCGTCATTCTCCCCAAGAATGAACCCGTTGTGCTGCCTCTTCAAGTGTCATTTGTGAGCAATTACCTTGAAATGACACAAGCTTTTAGTATGGAGTATAAATGGCTGGAACATGTGAGAGACGAGGTTAACAAAGACATAACGGAAGAGATAAAGAAAGTTTCATGGGCAGCATATCACGCAAATCAAGTCCAGCCTCCAGGTCAATTGGATACGACCTCGCTGCTCCCGCTCTTTCAAGAGGAGGCTGCCTCCCCAGCTATGATTTGTCATACAATGGACGTAGTTATTAAGGCGGTCAATTATCCTAATCCTGGGCAGACACCTGTGCTTGCTTGTGATCAGCCAATCTATGCAATGGCAAAGAAGATTCAGTGGAACTGGCCATCCACGTATGGAGAAAGTAGCATAGTTATGATGTTTGGAGGGCTGCATACTGAGCTTGCCGCTCTTAAGGCATTGGGGACCTGGATTGAGGGTAGTGGTTGGACAAGCGCCCTAGTGCAAGCGGGCATAACAACTCCTGGAACAGCCGACTCCTTTCTCAAGGCGTCACACGTTTCACGCACCCGACACGCCCACCAGATTACTGCTTGTGCTTTGTACACACTGATGGACAAGGCATACAAGCACTACTGCAATTGCATTTCGGAAGAAGAAGAACCCAAAACGTTTATGGAGTGGCGCAAGCAAGCAGAGCTGGCTAGTCCTCAGTTCCACTACTGGTCTCTCACCCTTCACTTTGAGATCACCATATTAATATTTGTAAGGTCTCTTCGAGAGGGGAACTTCGAACTATACAAAGAGTCATGTAAAAGACTTGCACCCTGGTTTTTTGCATTAGACCGCACAAACTATGCTAAGTGGCTGCCCGTCCACATTCGCGACATGGAGTGGGGACTTGCTTATCTTAGATACGCGAGACATTATGGATGCCACAGTGGTGAAATCAGTTAGAACTGTAGAGGAACTAGGCCAGAAGCAATTTCAGGAGTTTTGCACAACCAGGCTTCATGAGCGAAAAATCTCGCTTTTTGATGTTATCAAGAGAAACAAGATACAGCTGTTTAGTAGTCCTCCGGCTCCTAAAGAGACAACCAAGGATAAGATGAAAATAGCTTCACTAAAGAGCAACTGCTCCCTGTTTTCACGCGTGTACATCTCATGTCAGGTTAGAGAAGGTGACTTAGACAGCTTCTTTACTCACGAGAACCAGAGCTACCCGCCTTCTTTGTCTCAGTATGGAACTCTAAGATCAGGAAACAAGTCAGATTTGCTATTCTGTCTAGAAAGGTTGTGTCCCGCTAAAGCGGAAAAGCCTTCCGTTGACGTTCTATTATTAGATGGGGCAGCCATTGTGAACATGCTTAAACCCACCGGAGCTTGCAAGACGTTTGCAGAATACAGTCAGTTTGTTTTTATACCATACTTAACCAGGGAGCTTGAAAGTGTTAAGAGGGTAGATGTGGTGTGGGACAGATACCTCTCAAACAGTCTGAAGGATTGCACTAGAAGAAAGAGAGGAAATGGCTCACGACGACGAGTCCAGCCAGACACAAAGATTCCTGGAAACTGGGCTGCTTTTCTGAGAGTGGATGAGAACAAGGTGGAGCTTTTCCATTTCCTGGCCGAGCAGCTAATCACAATCTCAAATGTCCATGGACAGGTAGTAACTACCAAAGACGAATCAGTGCCCTTTAACGATGAAAGAAATGACATCACTAACCTAGCGCCATGTGGACATGAAGAGGCCGACACAAGGCTCTTGCTGCATGTGGCTGACGCTATAAACCAAGGATTCACTAAGGTAATGGTACGCACAGTTGACACCGATGTTGTAGTGATCTCAGTGGCAGCATTTCACCAGATTCAACTTTCTGAACTTTGGGTTGCCTTTGGTACTGGAAAACACTTTAGGTACCTGCCTGTTCACGATATTTGCCAGCGTATCGGTCCAATTAAGTCTCAAGCACTTCTCGCCTTTCACGCCTTCACTGGGTGTGACCAAACATCCTTCTTCACACACCGCGGAAAGAAGACAGCCTGGGAAGCTTGGGATGCTTTCAGTGAAGTGACAACATCTTTTCAAGTCCTGAGCGATGCACCAACGCTCGAAGACGTCTGTGAACAGTTGCCTACTCTGGAGCGCTACGTTATCATCATGTACGATCGTTCTAACACTTGCAAGGAAGTAAATGAAGCTCGTAGAGATCTCTTTACACGAAAGGGGAGAGACATTGAAGGTATTCCCCCTACGGCTGACGCCTTGCGTCTGCACACAAAGCGATGTGCATACCAAGCTGGGCACTGCTGGGGCAAGGCATTGGTGCCATCCCATCCCCTCCCATGTCCAAGTGAATGGCGCTGGGTGCGGAGTGCCAGTCAAGTTTGGGAACCACTATTTATGACCCTTCCGGAAGCATCGCAGAGCTGCCAGGAGCTGTTAAAGTGTGGATGCAAAAGTGACAAGGGCTGTACCAGAAGATGTAAATGTGTTAGAGCCGAGCTGCAGTGTACAGCCTTGTGTAATTGCAGCGGTCTTTGTGAGAGGGATGAGTCCACAGGGTCGTAAATGAAGACATACACGTTAACTTCAGAACGGTAGA